ACGAGTTTGGCCGCTCATTAGGGATTGTCATACTTAACTAGTGATGTTATAACAGAAATACCACAAGTGGATGGCTTTAACATACAGAAATGTATTTTCTCACAATTTTCGAGGCTAGAAATCCGAATTCAGGGCGCTGGCTCTAGGTGAAGGCTTTCTTTCTCCGTTTGCTTTGGGGAAGGTTGTTGTCTTTCTTTAGCTTCTGTTTCTCAGTTCCTTGGTGATCTCCTGTGGCGTGGCACTGTCTTTCCCCACTTGTGCTTACTTGCTCAATCTGCTCCTTTATATCTCAACAGAGATTGACTTGAGACACCCCCCGAATAACAGAAAATCACTGCTGACAGGAAGTTTCTGACTCATAGGGATGCAATAGGACAGAGTAGAACTGCCCTCTAGGGTTTCCAAGGCTGTAAATCCTTACATAAGCTGACTCCTAGATCTTTCTCCCTTGGAGCAGCTGGTGGGTTGACTTAAGACACAACTTACAATAATACTGTCTCTTTAACATAACAACACACATTCCCAAATGGGATTATAACCATCGGCACAGGGTTAGGGTTTACAACACCTATTTTTGAGGGGGGAGGCAAAAATCAATCCTTATTGGGGAGTATGTTTTTAAATGTGGGTGCATGGTAGACTTCCCTAGTATAATGCAACACAAACCTCCTAGAATTATTATCAAGGACCAACAATTCACCCTTCCAGCTGCACTTTCATCACCCCAATTTTCATTCACATTACCACCGCCAAATGTCTAGTCTTCACTTGGAGTTTACCAAATGACACTCAAGATAATGTAATTCTAATGTCCTTTCAGTGGAGTGGTCTCCGGCTCCCCCAGCCCAACGCAAAAGGCTACTTACAGTGGATTCCTGACACCAAGAGTGTATCTTTCTGTTTCTCAGAAATTTCCGGGAAATGATGTGTATAACACACCCAGTCAATGCATGTGTTCAACTCACTGGGACAAGAGCACAGGACACCTTCCAGTCCTGCTCGGGTGAGGTGATGCGGACCCACTGGAGGAGGGAGACTGAGAAGGTGTGCACCCCTTCAGCAGGGAGATGCCTCCTTAGCTTTAACAACTGCCACCTCTGCAGAATTCTTTAAGAGCACTGCTCTAGGACCCTACAAGGCTCCTATTGTCCTGGTCAGTCCCCAGTAGAGAAAATCAGAGGAAGGCTTAGGATGCAGCCTGCCAGCCCTGCTTCGGGCTAACTACGGTGATACCAGGGGCTGGCACTAGGGACTCTCTCTACTGCGTTATTGGGGGTTCTTCTAAGTACTCTTTCAGGGCCATGATATCAACTGATTACAGTGGATCGGCCCCTCCCTTCTGATACTCTGAACTTGACACCTCAACTCCCTCTGGGACCCACAAGGAGGAATTAAATGATCATCTCAGCCACCGCTCCTGGCAGGGTGTCTCAGTATCTTTGATCTTGGCCAAAAACTCAAGGACTTTTGTCTTTCTGGCTTCAGCGAGGGCTCTGGGACCCCACAAGAATTCACAGCGTGGAGGATCACTGTAGGGCACATGCCGGTACTCTAGATACTTTTCCTGCACCAAATCTTTTGTTTTAAATCTTATTATCTAAATAGTGATATTCAGCGACCCTTTTTTTCTTCAGCCCACTGTACAGAAGAATTCACCGTTCTCATTTTAAACCCGTGGAGGAAAATAACATGTATATTATGAAACACTTCACAATCATAGAAGTTAAGGTTTTTTTCCTTGGAATTGATCTCACTGAATTGTATACATGAAAAATGTTGAATTGGCAAATGTTGTGTTATCTATATTTTTACAACAACAACAACAAATAGGGGAATGGATTGCAGTCAGTGAGAATGACAAGCAAGGAACTCCAAAAGTCCATCGCTCCACAAAAACAGCTAATCATTTATCAGAATCAACCATATCAGAATTCTGGAAACTTATCTAAGGATCACAGGAACAGGAATGTTTAGCCTAAAAATAAGAAAGCTAAATTCCAGTAGGAGAGCTTTGTGGAATTTTAATTTACCCACATCTCTGGATCCCCAGCTTGGCAATGACTTGAGAATGGGAGCCTGCATTCTTGGTATGGGTTCCTAGTGCCAGAGGGAGCAGAACAGGCCTTGTTTTCAGGGAATTGTGGTTGTTTGTTTTGACCTTAGGTCCCTGAGTAGCCCAAATGGTGCTCATCTACTAACCTACAGGTTGGAGGTTCCATCCCACTCAGGACCCACCACAGTGGCATCACAAAATAAAGGCCCAGTGAACTGCTTCCATAAAAGTTACAGCCAAGAAAACCCTATGGAGCAGTTTTAGTCTGTAACACGTGGGGTCTCCATGCGTCGGAATCGACTTGATGGTAACGGGTTTGGTTTGGTTTTGGCGTCTCTGATGGCTCCCTGAAGGACTCGCTCAAAAAGCTTGTTTTATTTTGCCTAACTCAGAACTCCCCCAGGCCAGAGGTACTACCTGGGTGGAAGGGTGGTTGTCAAAAACATTTGAAGGCGAATGTATCAGCCACCGCCACATGGGACAAGGGATAATAGTTCAGACAAACAATAAGACAAATTGAAAAGCCTGAGAGGAAAGACTGAGGGAGATGCTCTGGGGCATAGGGGCTTTGAAAAGCACCACATATTCCTGGGAATCTAGAAGGCCATACTTATGCACAGGGCTGGGCCCTGCTCAGAAAAGACCTGGGAGGTCCTAAACTCACACGTCTGGCTGCCTTCCAGACTCTGTTGTAACTGCCCAGCTGAGTGTCAAAGTTGTGCTCCAACACACAAGCGTGCGTGTGCGGACAGACACACGTGCGCACACACACATACAGGCACGTGGGCACACACATGCAGCCACAGAGCTGATCTTCAAAGAATGGCAGGTGTTTTCTTTTTCTTTTTAGTGCCAGGCATTTAAGGAGATTACTATCAAATAACTAGTTGCTCTGTGGCACGTTATTTGACTTCTCCAAGCATTAATTTCTCTTCTGTAAACAGGGCATAATAATAGTATTGACTTCATTGGTCCATTGTGAGGAATAAATGACATGAAACATGCAAACTATGTCTGGCATATATTATCTACTCAGTAAATATGAATTGTTATTGTTTAAAAAAAAAATCTTACTGCTAATATCAGG